GTGCACTCCATTATCACCTCGGTCAGTGGATCAGTGTGCACTCCATTATTACCTTGGTCAGTGCATCAGTGTGCACTCCATTATTACCTCAGTCAGTGGATCAGTGTGCACTCCATTATTACCTCGGTCAGTGCATCAGTGTGCACTCCATTATTACCTTGGTCAGTGCATCAGTGTGCACTCCATTATCACCTCGGTCAGTGCATCAGTGTGCACTCCATTATTACCTCGGTCAGAGGATCAGTGTGCACTCCATTATTATCTCGGTCAGTGCATCAGTGTGCACTCCATTATTACCTCGGTCAGTGCATCAGTGTGCACTCCATTATTACCTCGGTCAGTGCATCAGTGTGCACTCCATTATCACCTCGGTCAGTGCATCAGTGTGCACTCCATTATCACCTCGGTCAGTGCATCAGTGTGCACTCCATTATTACCTCGGTCAGTGCATCAGTGTGCACTCCATTATTACCTTGGTCAGTGCATCAGTGTGCACTCCAATATTACCTTGGTCAGTGCATCAGTGTGCACTCCATTATTACCTCGGTCAGTGCACAGTGTGCACTCCATTATCACCTCGGTCAGTGGATCAGTGTGCACTCCATTATTACCTTGGTCAGTGCATCAGTGTGCACTCCATTATTACCTCAGTCAGTGGATCAGTGTGCACTCCATTATTACCTCGGTCAGTGCATCAGTGTGCACTCCATTATTACCTCGGTCAGTGCATCAGTGTGCACTCCATTATCACCTCGGTCAGTGCATCAGTGTGCACTCCATTATTACCTCAGTCAGTGGATCAGTGTGCACTCCATTATTACCTCAGTCAGTGGATCAGTGTGCACTCCATTATTACCTCGGTCAGTGCATCAGTGTGCACTCCATTATTACCTCGGTCAGTGCATCAGTGTGCACTCTATTATTACTTTGGTCAGTGCATCAGTGTGCACTCCATTATTACCTTGGTCAGTGGATCAGTGTGCACTCCATTATTGCCTGGGTCAGTGCATCAGTGTGCACTCCCTTATCACCTCGGTCAGTGGATCAGTGTGCACTCCATTATTACCTTGGTCAGTGCATCAGTGTGCACTCCATTATCACCTCGGTCAGTGCATCAGTGTGCACTCCATTATTACCTCGGTCAGTGCATCAGTGTGCACTCCATTATTACCTCGGTCAGTGCATCAGTGTGCACTCCATTATTACCTCGTTCAGTGCATCAGTGTGCACTCCATTATTACCTCGGTCAGAGGATCAGTGTGCACTCCATTATTACCTCAGTCAGTGCATCAGTGTGCACTCCATTATCACCTCGGTCAGTGCATCAGTGTGCACTCCATTATTACCTCGGTCAGTGCATCAGTGTCCGCTCCATTATTACCTCGTTCAGTGCATCAGTGTGCACTCCATTATTACCTCAGTCAGTGCATCATTGTGCACTCCATTATTACCTCGGTCAGTGCATCAGTGTCCGCTCCATTATTACCTCGTTCAGTGCATCAGTGTGCACTCCATTATTACCTCGGTCAGAGGATCAGTGTGCACTCCATTATTGCCTGGGTCAGTGCATCAGTGTGCACTCCATTATTACCTCGGTCAGTGCATCAGTGTGCACTCCATTATTACCTCGGTCAGAGGATCAGTGTGCACTCCATTATTACCTCAGTCAGTGCATCAGTGTGCACTCCATTATTACCTCGGTCAGAGGATCAGTGTGCACTCCATTATTACCTCGGTCAGTGCATCAGTGTGCACTCCATTATTACCTTGGTCAGTGCATCAGTGTGCACTCCATTATTACCTCGGTCAGTGCATCAGTGTGCACTCCATTATTACCTCGGTCAGTGCATCAGTGTGCACTCCATTATTACTTCGGTCAGTGCATCAGTGTGCACTCCATTATTACCTTGGTCAGTGCATCAGTGTGCACTCCATTATTACCTCGGTCAGTGCATCAGTGTGCACTCCATTATTACCTTGGTCAGTGCATCAGTGTGCACTCCATTATTACCTCGGTCAGTGCATCAGTGTGCACTCCATTATTACCTCGGTCAGTGCATCAGTGTCCCCTCCATTATTACCTCGTTCAGTGCATCAGTGTGCACTCCATTATTACCTCGGTCAGTGCATCAGTGTGCACTCCATTATTACCTCAGTCAGATGATCAGTGTGCACTCCATTATTACCTCAGTCAGTGCATCAGTGTGCACTCCATTATTACCTCGGTCAGTGCATCAGTGTGCACTCCATTATTACCTCGGTCAGAGGATCAGTGTGCACTCCATTATCACCTCGGTCAGTGCATCAGTGTGCACTCCATTATTACCTCGGTCAGAGGATCAGTGTGCACTCCATTATTACCTCAGTCAGTGCATCAGTGTGCACTCCATTATTACCTCGGTCAGAGGATCAGTGTGCACTCCATTATCACCTTGGTCAGTGCATCAGTGTGCACTCCATTATCACCTCGGTCAGTGCATCAGTGTGCACTCCATTATTACCTCGGTCAGTGCATCAGTGTGCACTCCATTATCACTTCGGTCAGTGCATCAGTGTGCACTCCATTTACTGAGAACATCATGGTGCCAAAAAGAAACTTTTTATCAATATCATCTACAGAAGATTTTCATTTCAATCTGTCCCCCCCAAGCACCACACACACACACACACACACACACACACACACACAAAGAAGCTAAATTCTTCATTTAGATGTCCGTTTAAATCTAATGCTACACATCCTACCACAATACCATCTCCTCAGTCTCAAGATAGTAGAGGCAGTGAAGATTCCTCGTTGTTGAAGTGTTGTTTGGCTTTGACCTCCAAACATGGGTACCCTGACTGTGTGAAGCTAATTCTTGGTGACTATGGGTGTGTTATTATAGATTACCATTTATTGACTAGTGCCACATTTAATCTTAATTCCATTTGTGATGTTCTTTTTTATTTGGATATGTTTATCAATAATCAAGACCTTGTGCTAATGTAACCCAAATTTCCTTCAGGATAATAAAGTGTGATCTTATCTTAAAATGGTGTAAAACCCAAATAACTCACTCAATCTAGCTTGTACAAATCATTCTAAAAACACTTGAAAATTTTACCTGTATATAGACAGTGCAATTTTCTTGAAATATCATTTCCCAACTGTAAAGAAATAATGCCAGTAGCTCGGTGTTAGATGTTGATGTTACATGTACACCAGCACAATATCAACTACAGCGCAAGTCTGGCCTCAGATTTCCAATTAAAGTTGATATTGACAAACAGACAAAGACACACAATTGTTGAAGATATTTATTAATACCATCACAGGTTTGGTGTATTGAACATGGTAGATAGGTAAGTAGCATCAGCACTTGCGTTGTTGCCTGGGCAGTTTTAGATACAGGAGACAACATGGAAGGGCGGCGGGACAGGGGTGGGGGTTTGGGAGGGCAGTGGTGCGGCAATTCAGATTGGGGGGCAGGGGCGTCTCTTTGATAGTGGTATTTCACAATGTAGCAAACCTGTCTATACATCACACACACAACACATAGTTTATGAGTATGATCTTCCACTGCACTAGCATGGCCTTGCAGCAACCCCGCCGTGGCTGGTACCAACTGACACACTGCTGCTAGGTTGGGGTGACGATTGTTGTTAGGAGAATAATATCAATACTAAATGGTAAACATAACTGATGTGAGTCACTTCCATGCATCTCTCATCTTGCCTGGGTTATGCACAAGGTCACAGTAAGTCCTTCACTTGGCCTTTGGTCAAGTCATTCAGCCTGTGGTCAAGTCACTCAGCTTTTGTTCAAACCACATAGCTTGTCCTCTTGGAATATGGTAAAAATTCACAGCTCATCTTGTACATCTGCCATGTCCTAACTGTAGTACTACACGACGTGCACCATGATGCACAACAATCTGACAGGTAGACATGGAATCTGTGTCAAGTGCATACATAAAGGCATGAGACGGAGTATATACATTCATTCACATTTCTTTCCTATAGTTGAGGGTATCACCAGTGTATTATGTAACGTGGTGTGTTAATAAAGCGACTGTGTGTATGGTGGTGTGGAGGACATTGTGGAGATACATCATATAATGAGGTAAAGATATTGTGACGTACACCCTTAATTATCGTATATAAAAATATGTTTTGATTATAATCCATTACATATTAGTTCCATACAGTTATGTTCCTGCTGAGGACATCTTCCTGAGGCAAGGGAGTTCACAGATTATAAAAGTACAGATTCCACCCTTGCCAAACTAGGCTGGAATTATGGAGTAATATTTGGCTGAACTAACGAGTCCAATAATGCACAGTCCAATCAAAATCACTTAACAAAACCGACATCCAGTTTGTAAACTGCTGTGCAGACTTCGCTCGATTGAAGGATTTGAAAAGCATGTGTACTGCCAACCTGGCGTCACCAAATATTTTCCAAATCTTTTCATCGTTTAAATCAAGCTGCCCACGTTATTTGAAGCACTTAGCCACTGGTGGTGCTACGATCGAGCCCAGAAATCCAGCCTAGTTCGGCAAGGATGGAAACTGGACTTTTACAGTCAGTTAACTCCCTTGCCTCGGGAAGATGGACGAGGACAGACTGTGACAGTACGGCTGAGGATGCTGCTGCTGTGACTGAGGTGGGAACACTCCATGGCCATCGGACTCAACAACACGCTCCTCATCTTTCAGTGATACAGCCAAACATCATATTGCACGGTCTTGTAATAAAACAACACACATCACACCAACACACATCACATGCATACAGGTAGCATGACACAGTATCATCAAGTCCATCACCATCAGAACATAAACTGTACACGTCCAACACATCATCTCTCGCGTACATATAGGCTTTGTTTGTTCGTTTGTTGTTTAATGCTGCACTCAGGAATATTCCAGCTATAAATAATCGAGTCTGGACCAGACAACCCAGTGATTGACATCATGAGCATCTACCTACGCAACTGGGATACAATGACATGCATCAACCAAGTCAGCAAGCCTGACCACCCGATCCAGTTAGTCACCTCTTACGACAAGCATAGTCGCCTTTTACGGCAAGCGTGGGTAGCTGAAGACCTATCCCCTAACCGGATCTTCACGGGTCCATACACCCACATCGGGTGTAAACCCCTCAGCAGCTCATCCTCCGCATCATCACAGAGGGTGTCCTTTTCCGAAGTACCTGGTGTTGAGACGTGTTGCTTGTATCGCAAGATGTCCTCCCCCTGCTGTCCTCAGCATGGTTCCATGGCCTGACCAACGCCGGGACATCACATCAAGAACATCACAGCCCTCAACGATTCATTCACTATCACAGTTGTACCATAGATAGAAGACAGCCATCAACGATTCATTCACTTTCACAATCAGATCCAGTGCCGATAAACATTCAGAGTGAAATTTACATGTGAATCAACACGAATAACATCTCGATTTGTAATTCATTAAATCAGCATATATTCCTGTGGGTGAGGTTCAGCCATTTTCTATGGTGTTCCAGTTGATGCAGGAGAAGAAAGGGTGTGCCTTCAGCGCCTCCGCCCCATCCAGCCCTGAGCCCAGCCGCTCCCGGGGGTCGAAACACAGTAGCTGCAACACGACAAAACAACACCTGTAGGACACTGTGCGTTACCATAGGAGCAGGTATGTGGCACACTGCAATACACTGCACTGCATGAACTATTGAAGCAGGTGAGGTGAGGTGAAATAGGGTTAATCGTCGCGCCCAAGATTATAGCGCTTATATGGCGACGTGCGTGCATGCGTGCGGGCGGGTGGGCGGTACTAGTCCGGACTGATGCCGATTTATAGTGCTAGCACACTGACCGTGCAGCAGTTTTTAAACGAATGCCCCACTCAGACACAGTATACTGACTGTAGAGCCAGCCAGTCCTTGTTTTAGCCCTTAATGCTGAGCACCAGACAGGGTAACAACAAGTACCATCTTTTAACGTCTTTTGGTATGACGCAGCCAGGGATTGAACCCCGGACCTTGGGTACCACTAGACCACAAAGGCGGTATGAAGCATGAGAGAACACAGGATGGACACTATTACGAGATGCTGGTCTGTGACAGCTTGATGGTCCTAACACTGGCCTTTCTTCTGTCAGTTGGAAACGTGGAATAGGAGACAGTGGTCTTACCTCCTTGAGAAGGGCCTGTCCCTCTGGAGACACGTGGCTGGGGATGTGTAGTTGTGTGTGTGAGTTGATTCCCCCTGGGTGGTAGCTGCTCAAAGTCTGCAAGTGGAGGGACACTATGTATAACTCCATATCTGTTCAACTGTGATTATACAGAAACGTGTGGTGCACAAATGTAAATATAACTGAAATCAGATATTTCATAGCTAGTAATAGCAAAGAAGTATGAGAAAGAGTTTGAATTCACAGTATCTGTTACACCAATCAGTCAACACACGAGGCATGAAACAGAATGTTACCAGTATATAGAATATATATAAACAAACCCACCTTCCCAGTGAGGAGTTCATAGAGCAGCGCACCAAGGCTCCACCAGTCACACACTTCGGAGTAGCCTGTGATGGAGCACACCTCTACAACAACAACAACAACAACATCAGATGTAGTGAACAGCTCTACAACAACAACATCAGATGTAGTGAACACCTCTACAACAACATCAGATGTAGTGAACACCTCTACAACAACAACATCAGATGCAGTGAACACCTCTATAATATCAGACATAGTGAACACCTCAACAACATCAGATGTAGTGAACACCTCTACAACAACAACAACATCAGATGCAGTGAACACCTCTATAATATCAGACATAGTGAACACCTCTACAACAACAACATCAGATGCAGTAAACACCTCTATAATATCAGACATAGTGAACACCTCAACAACATCAGATGTAGTGAACACCTCAACAACATCAGATGCAGTGAATACCTCTATAACATCAGACATAGTGAACACCTCAACAACATCAGATGCAGTGAATACCTCAACTACATCAGATGCAGTGAACACCTCAACTACATCAGATGCAGTGAACACCTCTACAACATCAGACATAGTGAACACCTCAACAACATCAGATGCAGTGAACACCTCTACAACATCAGATGCAGTGAACACCTCAACAACATCAGATGTAGTGAACACCTCTACAACATGAGTGTAGTGAACACCTCAACAACAACATCAGATACAGTGAACACCTCAACTACATCAGATGCAGTGAACACCTCTACAACAACATGAGTGTAGCGAACACCTCTACATCAGATGAAGTGAACACCTCTACAACATCAGATGTTGTGAACACCTCTACAACATCAGACATAGTGAACACCTCAACAACAACATAAGTGTGTTGTGAACATCTCTACAACATTGGATGTAGTGAACATCTCTACAACAACATGAGTGTAGTGAACACCTCTACAACATGAGTGTAGTGAACACCTCTACAACATCAGATGCAGTGAACACCTCTACAACATCAGATGTAGTGAACACCTCTACAACAACATGAGTGTAGTGAATACCTCTACAACAACATGAGTGTAGTGAACACCTCAACAACATCAGATGCAGTGAACACCTCTACAACATCAGATGTAGTGAACACCTCTACAACAACATGAGTGTAGTGAACACCTCTACAACATCAGATGTAGTGAACACCTCTACAACATCAGATGCAGTGAACGCCTCTACAACATCAGATGTTGTGAACACCTCTACAACAACATGAGTGTAGTGAACACCTCTACAACACCATGAGTGTAGTGAACACCTCTACAACATCAGATGTAGTGAACACCTCTACAACAACATGAGTGTAGTGAACACCTCTACAACATGAGTGTAGTGAACACCTCAACAACATCAGATGTTGTGAACACCTCTACAACATGAGTGCAGTGAACACCTCTACAACATCAGATGTTGTGAACACCTCTACAACATCAGATGTAGTGAACACCTCTACAACAACATGAGTGTAGTGAACACCTCTACAACAACATGAGTGTAGTGAACACCTCTACAACATCGGATGTAGTGAACACCTCTACAACAACATCGGATGTAGTGAACATCTCTACATTAACATGAGTGTAGTGAACACCTCTACAACATCAGATGTTGTGAACACCTCTACAACATCAGATGCAGTGAACGCCTCTACAACATCAGATGTTGTGAACACCTCTACATCAGATGTAGTGAACACCTCTACAAAATCAGATGCAGTGAACACCCCTACCAACCCCCACCCATCCACCCTTTTAACCCCAACCAAACCACCCTGACTACCCACCCTTCCAACCCCCACCCATCCACCCTTCGAACCCCAACCAAACCACCCTGACTACCCACCCTACCAGCCCCAACTGATCCACCCTGACTACCCACCCTACCAACCCCAACCCATCCACCCTGACTACCGACCTGGTGCGACATACAGGTGGTCGACTGCCTCCGGGTCGACCTGCTTGTCGATCTGACTCATCTGACTGAAGTAGGACAGCAGGATGTGGCCCTGGTCACCCAGGAGAACGTTGTCAGGTCGCAGATCTCTGGAAATACACATCACACATATCACAATCTGACTGTAACCATGGTAACAGCCACACACAAATGGATCAAATACTGTAAATCGGGGTAGTATTGTGCCATGAAATTACTGTGAGTGGATAACAATAGCCTTAACTGTGAACACACAATGCCATTTAGAAAGTGGTCAAATGTAACAAATGTTATATTTGGGATAACACTAGGGCTGGTGATTTAGATCGATAATCGTAATTATCATCGATGGAAGAAGGTTGTGACGATTATCGATATGAATATAATGCTATCGATAATGACATGTATTTTTTCGACAAATAAAAGTTTTTACTGCAACACATTTGACTTATTTGTTTTGCTATCCTTGTAATTATCGCTAGATATAAACAGACAGATTCACCCTAACATACAGTTTTCTCCCCTTCGCTTGATGTTTAGTCGCAAATAAAAATCAAATGTTTGAAAAAGTAAAAAGTTCTGCTTTGAATCGAACGACGACGCCATTACGTGTTGATAGTGGGTAATTACAAATGTAGTCACAGGCATCTAAATGCGGAGTCAGGATTTTAGAAAATATGTATATTTTCGAAATAGTATGAAGTATCATGATTAAAATAGGTTTCATAATACTTTAATTCTTAAAAAGAATTCTTCCCATTCTATTTCCTAAAATTTCAAATTTTATGTCTATTTGGTAACTACGTATTCCAGTCTGTTTCGATTTTTTCAATGATCATGGTTTTCGTTTTTGCCGGTATTCTCAACTCACAGCCCACGTGAGGTCCACGTGGGGTTTGACATTTTTACGATATGGCAGCAAAAATTCCTAATTTCCCCGTTATAATCGCACGATGTTTGTTTAATATCAGTCTGCCACCCAATCTATTACGTATCACACCTGTGAACCTAGTACAACCTACTACGTAGCACACACCTGTACACACCTGACATTCACAATGGCGGAATATTTGATGATTTTTTATCTGAATAGTTTCGTGAATACTGTACATAAATGACAAACGACTATATCAGGTGAAATTACATTTAATTTCTCAATTACCGTATTTTCTTGAGTACAGTGCGCACCCATGTATAATGCGCACCCCCCTCTAGCGGGTTCAATATTTTGGAAAAAAAGAAATTTGAATATTATGCGCAGAAAAAAATTACACCGTACCCTTTCAGCGAAGTCCGGCACACGAACGGGTGATGAGAAACTTCGTCAGTACAAATTCGAAATTTGAGAAAAAAAATCACCAGACATGTTTATTTACCGTTTAAATAGTATTTATTGTTCTGCTAGGCATTGTTTTATATCCCGGGATTAAGATTACCTTGTGTATTTTCTCGTAAACTAAGCCGGAAACAGCAATCAGCTGTACACACGTTTTCTTGGAATCGACCGGTGATTCGGTCAAGACACACCCAATGAAATAACTTAATAGGATTTTTAATGCAAGGATCGGCAAAAATTGTATATGAAACTATTTTTTTTATCAAGAATAATATATTCCATTATTTTCTTAATTATATACAGCCTTTACTAAACATATTTAAAATAGATAATAACCCTAAGCGAAGCAGCTGATCGCTATTCCCGGGTATTACTTTTTACATGGACTCAGTCTGACCAGTCACCGTCAAGGCTCACGCGCACGTGATCGCGAGAATTTCATGTTGACATAGAATCGTCAAACAAAAACAAATATGACTTTTAACGAGTCAAAGTATGTCATTTATGATATATGTATCCATTCTCTGTCAACTAAAGTTCGTTTCAAGACGTCAATAGCGGTATTCTGACCGTGGTTGCTGTTAATAACGGTGAGTTGTGCGATCTTCCGATCGCTTCACACACGATTTCGCCGAAATTAATAAAAACAATATTAAAAGGAATACTCAAGAAAATACGGTATTCTCACTTTATAGAAATAATAATTGTCTTTGACGACATGAATCTTAAACTCAAATTGTTCATCGCTAAAAATGCGATGTAACGTGCGTACGTATTGTTGAAACACTGAGTCTCCGGAGAAGTGAAATGCCATTTTTCTGTAATGTCATTTTACCAAAATAGAATTCTTTGATATTTATCGATTATTGATCGATATGTGACTACCGATAATCGATCTGAGTAATCCATATCGATAACCAGCCCTAGATAACACTTTAGTAAAGTACGGATTCTACTACTTTTTGGGGTTTGTCCCATCCGGTATTCAAGCCAACATTGCCAGAACGAGGCACCTAATTGCCAGCACACAAAGTCAGCGATGTAACGCACTCAGCCACCGAAGCTTCCAAATGAAAGTCTGACAACTGGTAGTCTAGATCACATACATTGTGTACCCCTCTTACATAGTAAACTGACACAGTATACTGACTCCGAGCTGACCAGTCCTTGTTTTTCCCGCTTAATGCAATGCCGAGCACCAGACAGGGTAACAACAAGTACCATTTTTTAACGTCTTCTGAAAGCTATGAACCCACAATGCCATTTAGAAAGTGGTCAAATGTAAAAAATGTTATATTTGAGATAACACTTTCTCAGTAAAGTACAGACTCTACAGGACTATGGCCAATTTCTAATGCTGCTGCCCCTAACAACACACATTACTGTCCCTAACAACAAACATTATTGTCCCTAACAACACATATTATTGTCCCTAACAACAAACATTATTGTCCCTAATAACACATATTATTGTCCCTAACAACAAACATTATTGTCCCTAATAACACATATTATTTTCCCTAACAACACACATTACTGTCCCTACCAACAAACATTATTGTCCCTAATAACACATATTATTGTCCCTAACAACAAACATTATTGTCCCTAACAACACATATTATTGTCCCTAACAACAAACATTATTGTCCCTAATAACACATATTATTGTCCCTAACAACACACATTACTGTCCCTACCAACAAACATTATTGTCCCTAACAACACATATTATTGTCCCTAACAAACATTATTGTCCCTAACAACACATATTATTGTCCCTAACAACACACATTACTGTCCCTAACAACAAACATTATTGTCCCTAACAACACATATTATTGTCCCTAACAACACACATTACTGTGTTACTAATTTTTAACACCAATTCCAAACACTACTCAATATCACTGCAATGGTCACATCTTCTGCCAACCTCCCAAGCATACTGCTCCATAAGAACACAAGACTATTAAATAACAGCTGGAAGAACACCTGACTAGGGAATACAAGACTATTCAATGAACACAGGAAGAACACCCGACTAGGGAATACAAGACTATTCAATGAACACTGGAAGAACACCCGACTAGGGAATACAAGACTATTCAATGAACACTGGAAGAACACACGACTAGGGAATACAAGACTATTCAATGAACACTGGAAGAACACCCGACTAGGGAATACAACACTATTCACTGAACACTGGAAGAACACCCGACTAGGGAATACAACACTATTCACTGAAAACTGGAAGAACACCCCACTGTGGAATACAACACTATTCAATGAACACAGGAAGAACACCCGACTAGGCAATACAACACTATTCACTGAACACTGGAAGAACACCCAACTAGGGAATACAAGACTATTCAATGAACACTGGACAACACATAGCTGAGGGGAACACTGTACTATTTGTCGCTGTACATACCTGCAGATGACACCCAAGGCATGGAGTCGCGAGATGGCACAGACTATTTCCGCAGCCCAAGTTTTGATGCAGGACTCAGGCAGCTTGAAAATCTCGGGATTTCTGGAGTCCAGCTCATCAAATAAATCTGTCATGGCCCGGGCTCGGTTCTTTGTTGGTGATTTGAGATCACATTCAAAAGAGGCTGATTGGGTGAGATCTTTGGAGGCCATGCGCTTCAAGCTGACCTTCCTTTTAGGGGTGGATGTGGGTAGTGGTGACGTGGGGGTCGGGATAGGGGCTGGGGTTGTCTTGGCAGTACCTGCTACATCAGGAGTGGGTACAGAGGACCCCTTGCCACCCACAACACCTGATTCACTCACATCACTGTCATTGGAATGTTGGCAGTCATAGATACTGGGTTCGGTCGAGTCGTGGGAGTTGGAGGACGTGCTATCCCCTTTAGCAGTTACGTGGTCAGCTGACTCTATCACAGAACCGTCCAAACTCCCTGACTCGGACAGCACACGGTCAACTAGTTTGATCAGTTCCTTTGAACTCTGAACAATTCTCTGTGCATCGAGACTTAGGTCTCCTTCTGTTAAGCTGGGAGAGCTATCCTGCTGTGAGTCCAGCCTGTCACTCCGCGACGTGTCGTCACTCCCAAACACATCATCCGCTGTGCTGTTGCTTGTATCAACATGTGGCTCACCCTGGTGGTCAGACTGAGACGTCGCAGTTGTCTCCCCTGCCTCTTCTGGAATGCTCTCTATGTGGTCTGACATGTTGCTATCAAGGCGGGACATGGCGTCACTGTCAAAGCTGTTGATAGAGAACTGCTCCAGAGTTGGTCTGGTCTGATCCAGCATCTCCTGGAAGTCATGGCTGTCACCCAGACTGATCTTACTTGAGTTTGCGGCACCAACACCATCTGCACCTACTACAGCATCGCTGACTGACCTACCCTCGTCCGACGACAGACTAGATAGTCTTAGGTAGTCAGGTTTCAAGGCGGAGGCACTAGCCGGAGCTTCAGGATCAGATGCATCAGGACCCGGGGGGTCTGGATCAACTTCATTGGGGGACATCACCTGGTTGGAGAAATGAACAACCCGTCCAGCACTGGTACTGGGACCTATTGCAATCTGGGTTGGCTTCTTGCTGTCCTTGCTGTCCTTGTTGTTGGGCGTGTCAGAGGGCGTGTCAGAGGGCGTGGCAGTAGGTGGGGGTGTGTCAGCATCCTCAGTGTTGTGCACCTTCTGTCCCGAGTACACGTTGCTGCTATTGTGTGGGTAGAGTCCGACGGGAGAGTTGTCTCCCCCTGTGATGGTGTCCTGACTCTGGAGGAAGCTGCTGATGTGCGTCCATAGTTTGCCGCCGCTGGCGTATTGCAACAACAGATAGATGGCATTGTGGGTCTCATAGAACTTGTACAGGCTGACCATATATGGGCAACTGGTCGGCAGGATGGAAGGCAAACGGGTTGTCGGGGGGACCGCTGCTTTGTGAATTGTCTGGGAAAATAAAAACATCTAAAATTAAAACTTGTTGGTTTAATGGATTCATAATAATAATAACTGCATTTCTATTTCACCTCATTGAACAGATCTTTCACGAATACAGAACCTCTCCATATGAAGATCTGACGACTTATCATTGGTTCCACCAGGGGAACGACCAATCTAAATGGACAATGTGTAGGTTCTTCAGCTAATTTAGCTTTCTGAATCGTTACAGCTTCAATTCTTTACCACCTCAATGTGGAGATATTCCTTCAATGGTATTGGCTTTTGAGTGTAGATGTCATGGTGCTCAGAAAAGACAGACTGTAGGCCACATCCACACCAGTATAACAGCACAACCTCCTATGAACATGATGTCAGATCTTCATCCAGAGAGGTATCATATCGGAGTTAAACATCAGAATCTCATCTGACACCACACCAAGTATGTGCCAAAATGAAGAATGTGAGAATTCATTGAGCATTGATAAATACATCTTTTTTTTTAAATCAGACCTTCACAAACCAATCATGACCTAAACAGCTGAATGACAGGAACTGACAGGATATAACAGATTATGACAGGAAATAACAGAAACTGAGATATATGACAGGAATGACAGGAAATAACAGATAATGAAGGAAATGACAGAAACTGAGATATATGACAGGAATGACAGGAATGACAGAAACTGAGAGATATGACAGGAATGACAGGAATATATGCCAGGAATATATGCCAGGAAATGACGAAACTGAGAAATATGACAGAAATGACAGGAACTGAGAGATATGACAGGAATGACAGGAAATGATGAAACTGAGAGATATGACAGGAATGACAGGAATGACAGGAATATATGCCAGGAATATATGACAGGAAATGACGAAACTGAGATATATGACAGGAATGACAGGAAATAACAGATAATGAAGGAAATGACAGAAACTGAGATATATGACAGGAATGACAGGAATGACAGAAACTGAGATATATGACAGGAATGACAGAAACTGAGAGATATGACAGGAATGACAGGAAATAACAGATAATGAAGGAAATGACAGAAACTGAGATATATGACAGGAATGACAGGAATGACAGAAACTGAGAGATATGACAGGAATGACAGGAAATAACAGATAATGAAGGAAATGACAGAAACTGAGAGATATGACAGGAATGACAGGAATATATGCCAGGAATATATGACAGGAAATGACGAAACTGAGAAATATGACAGAAATGACAGGAACTGAGAGATATGACAGGAATGACAGGAATGACAGGAAATGATGAAACTGAGAGATATGACAGGAATGACAGGAATATATGCCAGGAAATGACGAAACTGAGATATATGACAGGAATGACAGGAAATAACAGATAATGAAGGAAATGACAGAAACTGAGATATATGACAGGAATGACAGGAATGACAGAAACTGAGATATATGACAGGAATGACAGGAATGACAGAAACTGAGAGATATGACAGGAATGACAGGAAATAACAGATAATGAAGGAAATGACAGAAACTGAGATATATGACAGGAATGACAGGAATGACAGAAACTGAGAGATATGACAGGAATGACAGGAAATAACAGATAATGAAGGAAATGACAGAAACTGAGAGATATGACAGGAATGACAGGAATATATGCCAGGAATATATGACAGGAAATGACGAAACTGAGAAATATGACAGAAATGACAGGAACTGAAAGATATGACAGGAATGACAGGAATGACAGGAAATGACGAAACTGAGAGATATGACAGGAATGACAGGAAATAACAGATAATGAAGGAAATGACAGAAACTGAGATATATGACAGGAATGACAGGAATGACAGAAACTGAGAGATATGACAGGAATGACAGGAAATAACAGATAATGAAGGAAATGACAGAAACTGAGAGATATGACAGGAATGACAGGAATATATGCCAGGAATATATGCCAGGAAATGACGAAACTGAGAAATATGACAGAAATGACAGGAACTGAGAGATATGACAGGAATGACAGGAAATGATGAAACTGAGAGATATGACAGGAATGACAGGAATGACAGGAATATATGCCAGGAATATATGACAGGAAATGACGAAACTGAGATATATGACAGGAATGACAGGAAATAACAGATAATGAAGGAAATGACAGAAACTGAGATATATGACAGGAATGACAGGAATGACAGAAACTGAGATATATGACAGGAATGACAGGAATGACAGAAACTGAGAGATATGACAGGAATGACAGGAAATAACAGATAATGAAGGAAATGACAGAAACTGAGATATATGACAGGAATGACAGGAATGACAGAAACTGAGAGATATGACAGGAATGACAGGAAATAACAGATAATGAAGGAAATGACAGAAACTGAGAGATATGACAGGAATGACAGGAATATATGCCAGGAATATATGACAGGAAATGACGAAACTGAGAAATATGACAGAAATGACAGGAACTGAAAGATATGACAGGAATGACAGGAATGACAGGAAATGACGAAACTGAGAGATATGACAGGAATGACAGGAAATAACAGATAATGAAGGAAATGACAGAAACTGAGATATATGACAGGAATGACAGGAATGACAGAAACTGAGATATATGACAGGAATGACAGAAACTGAGAGATATGACAGGAATGACAGGAAATAACAGATAATGAAGGAAATGACAGAAACTGAGATATATGACAGGAATGACAGGAATGACAGAAACTGAGAGATATGACAGGAATGACAGGAAATAACAGATAATGAAGGAAATGACAGAAACTGAGAGATATGACAGGAATGACAGGAATATATGCCAGGAATATATGACAGGAAATGACGAAACTGAGAAATATGACAGAAATGACAGGAACTGAGATATATGACAGGAATGACAGGAATGACAGGAAATGACGAAACTGAGAGATATGACAGGAATGACAGGAAATAACAGATAATGAAGGAAATGACAGAAACTGAGAGATATGACAGGAATGACAGGAAATGATGAAACTGAGAGATATGACAGGAATGACAGGAATGACAGGAAATGATGAAACTGAGAGATATGACAGGAATGACAGGAATGACAGGAATATATGCCAGGAATATATGACAGGAAATGACGAAACTGAGATATATGACAGGAATGACAGGAAATAACAGATAATGAAGGAAATGACAGAAACTGAGATATATGACAGGAATGACAGGAATGACAGAAACTGAGATATATGACAGGAATGACAGGAATGACAGAAACTGAGAGATATGACAGGAATGACAGGAAATAACAGATAATGAAGGAAATGACAGAAACTGAGATATATGACAGGAATGACAGGAATGACAGAAACTGAGAGATATGACAGGAATGACAGGAAATAACAGATAATGAAGGAAATGACAGAAACTGAGAGATATGACAGGAATGACAGGAATATATGCCAGGAATATATGACAGGAAATGACGAAACTGAGAAATATGACAGAAATGACAGGAACTGAGATATATGACAGGAATGACAGGAATGACAGGAAATGACGAAACTGAGAGATATGACAGGAATGACAGGAAATAACAGATAATGAAGGAAATGACAGAAACTGAGAGATATGACAGGAATGACAGGAATATATGCCAGGAATATATGACAGGAAATGACGAAACTGAGAAATATGACAGAAATGACAGGAACTGAGAGATATGACAGGAATGACAGGAATGACAGGAAATGACGAAACTGAGAGATATGACAGGAATGACAGGAATATATGACAGGAATATATGACAGGAAATGACGAAACTGAGAGATATGACAGGAATGACAGAAAATGACGAAACTGAGAGATATGACAGGAATGACAGGAAATGACGAGACAGAGAGATATGACAGGATTGACAGGAAATGACGAGACTGAGAGATATGACAGGAATGACAGGAAATGATGAAACTGAGAGATATGACAGGAATGACAGGAAATGACGAGACTGAGAGATATGACAGGAATGACAGGAAATGACGAAACTGAGAGATATGACAGGAATGACAGGAAATGACGAGACTGAGAGAAATGACAGGAATGACAGGATATGAAAAAACTGAGAGATATGACAGGAATGACAGGAAATGACGAGACTGAGAGATATGACAGGAATGACAGGAAATGACGAAACTGACAGATATGACAGGAGCTGACAGGAAATGACGAGACAGAGAAATGACAGGAAATGACGAGACTGACAGATATGACAGGAGCTGACAGGAGCTGACAGGAATGACAGATATGACAGGAACTGAGAGATATGACAGGAATGACAAGAAATGACGAGACTGACAGATATGACAGGAGCTGACAGGAGCTGACAGGAGCTGACAGGAATGACAGATATGACAGGAACTGAGAGATATGACAGGAACTGACAGGAGCTGACAGATTTGACAGGAGCTGACAGGAATGACAGATATGACAGGAACTGAGAGATATGACAGGAACTGACAGGAGCTGACAGATTTGACAGGAGCTGACAGGAATGACAGGAGCTGACAGGAGCTGACAGGAGCTGACAGGAATGACAGATATGACAGGAACTGAGAGATATGACAGGAACTGACAGGAGCTGACAGATTTGACAGGAGCTGACAGGAATGACAGGAGCTGACAGGAGCTGACAGGAGCTGACAGGAATGACAGATATGACAGGAACTGAGAGATATGACAGGAACTGACAGGAGCTGACAGATTTGACAGGAGCTGACAGGAATGACAGGAATGACAGGAACTGACAGACATGACAGAAATGACAGGAAACAACAGAAACTGAGAGGAATTGACAGAAACTGGGAGGTATGACAGGAACTGACAGACATGACAGAAATGACAGGAAACAACAGAAACTGAGAGGAAATGACAGAAACTGACAGATACGACAGGAATGACAGGAAATGACAGAAACTGACATACTACAGGAATGACAGGAAATGACAGGAATGACAGGAAATGTTGGTGTGACGTGACGCCTGTATTACCTTAATGACTACGGTCTCGTCCGAGGAGCGGTCCATCACCAGCACAACACGGTCCACTGTACCCAGCACCTTGTAGCTCCGCAACTCAGACATCGACCCTTGGATGAAGGCCAGCGATGGGTCAAGGTCAAGTGAGGGTGACAGGGTGATGTCAGTCTATCAAAGCCGATAGTCTCAACTTAGTAATGTAGACACCCAGGATCAATAACTATATATTCGTATCTTACATAACCATGGTAACTAAATCATGTCAAAATCAGGTTTCCCCCCTTAGAGACATCTTTGCATGTATTTTGTTTCCATAACTTGAAACAAATTATTTTTCTCATCTTAACCATTACACACACATTTTGCTTATTATCCAAATTACGCATTGTCATGGTATATGATGTCAAACAGTGCTTAGGGAGTGAGTCAATGACTTATGTCACAAGCTGCAATGTGCTAGTTAAGCTATGATGGCCTGCAAACAATTAGGACAAAACAAATGGTTGACAGCATGAGCATCAATCCAATATATCAGGATATGGCACACAATGAGTCAGGAGACACAATCAGCCAGGACACAGAGCCATGAGTGTGGTCTGTGTTTCCCTGGTACACTAAGTACATCTGTACTCACTGCTGCCCACCGCCTCTCGTCTGCCGTGTCCTGTGCCATGTGGAGATTGTACAAATCTTCCGCCTTCATCAGGTACTGGGCCGTCTTCCTCCGCACCGCGTCACGCCGACTCTTGTTGCTGTCCCCTTCAATCAACAACCAACACAGGCTCACATCCTTCTCAAAGTCATCTTAAGGATCCTGTTCTGATGTCAACAGGTATTTGAGGTACCTTACACAATTTGTTTTATTTCTCTAAATGTTTCTTCAACTTATATACTGGACGACAGGAGACTGATATTTCTTTGAAAATTAACCCTCTCTATCACTGGATACAAGAAACTTCAGGACTTTTGAAGAATGTTTTCGTGAACAGTATTTATTTCTCTATAGAGCTAACACACACCAACAATTGCTTGTTACTTTTTAGTTACGAGCAGGAAAATAACTTTGGAACTTGTCAGTTATTAAGGCTGAGCTTACAAGATACTGTGAAGGACTACCAAGCTGACCACTCACCCTGCACGCCCTGCAGCAACATTCCAACTCCAGTCTTGTAACAAGCAAAGGACATTTCATAGTTGGCGTTGGCTTCATGCTCTTGGGCCAGGCAGATCTGCTGTGCAGCCAGGTAGATGTAGTCGTCCTTATCTCCTAAATCCATGCTTGACACGCTGGAATGCGTCCCGGCACGGCTCTTCCGGGCGGGGCTTGGGGTGTTACTTCGGATCCGATGTGCAGGACTTGCCGATAATGATTCAGATTTCCTGGCAGGACTCACAGACTCTGATGTCGTCTTGTGCGCCGGACTTGCAGACACTGAGCCAGATTTTGTGGGACTTGAGGCTACGGAGCCAGATCTGTGTATTGGACTTGCTGACGCTGATGTTGGTGCTGATGCTGACACTGATGCTGACGCCGATGCTGTCCTGATTGATGAGGAATACTGTGAGCTGGTTGTTGAGCTGACACTTCCTGTTCTGAATGAGGGAAGAGACAGGTCGATATCTCCCTTTCCACATTCCACCTTTGACTCACCTCGACTCCGCAGAGGATCAAATTCTCCAATTTCAAAAGTGACATATTCCTCTCCCTGACATAAATCTTGTGACTCCTCCACATCTGCCGTGGATGGAATTGCTGTCTCTTCCTCCTCCTTCCCACCCTCTGTCCCCACCCCCTCTTCCTTGTCCTCCTCCCCCAGCTGGGCACATGTATGGAGGGCCTTGACCAGCCAGCTGTTGCTGCGAGTCATGCCCCCCTCCACCTCCGCCACCAGCTCCGGAGCCAGGGGGTCAAACATGCTGATGTCTGTGTCAGGGAGGGAGGTGCCAAGGGGGGAGTCGAGGTCTGTGTCCCCCGCCTCGCCAAATGAGGCACAGGAGTCCAGGCTGATTGTGTCCGGGGGCTGTGGGAAGTTCCAGGTGCCGGCCAACACTCGACCCCTGAAACCAACATCAGGCAACTCATCACTACAATCTCCAGAACTGCTCCAGATCCAACTGATCCCCTGTGTTGTAGAGTATCTTGGTCAACAAGAAGCAGGCAGAAAACAGAAGACATAAAGAAAGTTGCCATGTTTGACTTGAGGATAACATTGTTAAGTCCTTAGAAGCTCATAAAATATATGTTTATAAACAAAAAGACGTGTTAGAAAATTCATTTTAAAACAACTGTGACAGTTAGAAACATCTAGATAGGTTTGTCAATTAAACAGAAAAAACAATTGTCTGGCCTCATGTCCTTGTTGTTTTGTTTTTTAATACCACTGGAGTCAGCAATATCCCAGCTAAATCCCAGTAGCTGAATCTGGGCCACACTAATCAGAGGCTACCCTCAACATCCACCTCTGCTGGAGAACAATGACACACAATCAATCTAGTCACCGAGTCCAACCTCCCAGTACAACATTCGGCGAAACCGCATTATCAGTGGTTCATATTGGGAAAGGGAGGTCACTCTAATTTCAAACGGGAGCTATCTCCGTTGTTTTCGTATTTGCGACAAATGGCGTCACCCACGCTGCATGTTGTTGGTCCAGCTATTAAATGCCCAGTTTATCCATAAGGTAAAACGTAAGGTAATTAAATGTTTGAATGCATTATATATTTATGTTTCCATCAGTACATCTTCTAAGATTGGTTTAGTGGTGATAACCATTTTCTAAAATGTGGGCCCACATTTTTCCCGTCATCTATGGTGATCGAAACAAGTGGGCCCACATTTGTATTTCGCCTAGCTTCGTTAGGTTGTTTCGTCAGTTCTGATAATCAATCCCTAAATATGGGCAGACGTTCTTCCGTCATATTGATTGCAACAGGAGGGACCACATTTATTAATCGCGAAATTCTACTTAAATATTGATAATCATTTTCTCAAATGTGGGCCCACATTGTTCCCGTCATATATGGTGATCGAAACAAGTGGGCCCACATTTGTATATCGCCTAGTGGGTAGACGTTCTTCCGTCATAGTGATTGCAAAAGGAGGGACCACATTACAAAATCGCTAGCTTCATTAGCTTGGCTTACTTATAACCATTTTCTAAAATGTGGGCCCACATTGTTCCCGTCTTATAGTGATCGAAACAGGTGGGCCCACATTTTTAAATCCCTAGGTTTCATAAGGTTGACGAAGTCATTTAGGCTAGTGGGCTCACGTTTGTCATTATGTGACATTTTATATTATTCATATTTTGTAATATTGATGGGAAATATCTTTATAAATCATTTCGTGTGACATTAATTCCATAAAAGGCACAAAAGTCTTTGAAGTTTGAATAACTGCGTCATAGCTGACCACACTAGTTTTACAAAAATAGCTACCAAGCAAGAAACTTAAATCTACTTCAAATTAAAATTACAGAGGCAATACCACTCATTCTACTTTTTCCAATATAACACATCAATCTAATCATAAGTGTTGGTGGCGATATAAGCCTGAACATATGTCTACACTTGAACTGATCTCGGACATGATACAAGCCTCAGACGTTTCCGAGAACTTGTTCCATAAAAGGAATAACTCATGAATATTAATGACCCCACGACCTAGTTTGGCGATGTTCGTAGAAGTGAGTTCTGCTGTATTGCCATCTTATTTGTACATTTTAATCCAATTATAAGTCATAATACTTATTTTAAATAGACAAATTATGAGTTCGTTATGCGGGTTTGTTTACGTAGTATATATTCTCAACAACAAGTGTGTTTAGTTTCGAATGTGGGCCCACCTCGAACTTTCGATTAGGCAAACGGAGTTAGCTCCCTTCTCGAACCACCGATAATGCGGTTTCGCCACATTCAAACTGGTGACCTGTTCAGGGAGAATGTCATGGTGAAAAAACAACTTGAATCTTACTCCTCTCTCCTGCCATTGACTGTCACTGTGACCGACTGGTCCGAGCCCGCTTCAGCTTCTTCTGAGGTGGAAGCAGGGTCGCTGGGGCACTTCGAGTCATGGTCGTGTGCCATCACGGGGACGACGTCGGGAGGTGGGTTGCTGTCCGTGTCATCACTGGAGAGGATGTCCAGCTTCGTCGGCCGCAGGGCGGGTGGTCCACCAGAGCCTTGGGATGTCTTCCCACCCTTCACAGCAACAAGAGGAAAGTCATTGTACCCGAGTCCTCACCCTTTCTCCACCCCCTTCTACATAGCTCTTCAGTTTGTTTGGTTGTTTGTTGTTTGTTGTTTAACTCCGCACTCAGCACTATTCCAGCTATATGACGGCGGTATGTAAATAATCAAGTCTGGACCAGACAATCCAGTGATTAACATCATGAGCATCGAGCCACGCATTTGGAATATGATGACATGCATCAACCAAGTCAGTGAGTCTGACCACCCGATCCCTTTAGTCGCCTCTTATGACAAGCATAGTCGCCTTTTACGGCAAGCATGGATTGCTGAAGACCTATTCTACCCCAGGTCTTCACGGGTCCAAATATGGGCTTATGTTCTTTCTTCACTCGGGACAAATAATCCACTACTCTGAGTTCCGAGGAGGTTATTTTCTGTACTCCCTATTCTCTCACAATATGGAATATGTCGCCTACTGTCCTGTGAACAACAGTCATGACTTGGGTTGTACAATCACCTCAGCAGTAGAAACAAACAGTTTTAGTCCACAGGACCTTATAATGATAACATATAACAAAACCCTTAAATATGGCAAATGTATTGGGTAGTTTGGCAAGGACTACAGGACTAGTGCCAATTTCTAACACTGTTACCTGCCAGAATTTCTCAAAAATGTGAGACTTGAACAGATGTGGTTGTTTGCTGATGAAGTTTAAGAGGTCAAGGCCACTCTGTCTTCTTTCTTCGATTACAGTGTCATCAAAACGACCTGTCAACAAATATACATGATATACAAAGTGTTGTGTAAGTATCAGCCCATGAGAGCATGACACGATGATACGTCAGTGTAACCCACATGTGTTGGGACTTCGGCTACATTGTACCTACATGTGTTGGGACTTCGGCTACATTGTACCTACATGTGTTGGGACTTCGGCTACATTGTACCTACATGTGTTGGGACTTCAGCTACATTGTACCTACATGTGTTGGGACTTCGGCTACATAGTACCTACATGTGTTGGGACTTCGGCTACATTGTACCTACATGTGTTGGGACTTCGGCTACATTGTACCTACATGTGTTGGGACTTCAGCTACATTGTACCTACATGTGTTGGGACTTCGGCTACATAGTACCTACATGTGTTGGGACTTCGGCTACATTGTACCTACATGTGTTGGGACTTCGGCTACATTGTACCTACATGTGTTGGGACTTCGGCTACATAGTACCTACATGTGTTGGGACTTCGGCTACATTGTACCTACATGTGTTGGGACTTCGGCTACATAGTACCTACATGTGTTGGGACTTCGGCTACATTGTACCTACATGTGTTGGGACTTCGGCTACATTGTACCTACATGTGTTGGGACTTCGGCTACATAGTACCTACATGTGTTGGGACTTCGGCTACATTGTACCTACATGTGTTGGGACTTCGGCTACATAGTACCTACATGTGTTGGGTGACAACCATCAGCAGATTCATCATGATTGTCAATTGATAAACAATCTTAACATCTATCTTAACATAGTATACAGTATACAGTATCATTAAACTTTAATCTTAACATGGCGTACAATTCAAGTACAGTGGACTGAAGAACTGTCCATGGATTGTCCTTAACTTGGTGGATGCAACACTGTGTGGTGTTTTCAGTGTGTATGGGAGGAACATTTAGGATAACTGTCCAGTGACTGTTTGTTTACATATTTATTTTCAGGAAATGAACTGTCGCAAACACATTCAGCTTCGAGGAAAGAACATTAATACGCACATGCTTTCCTGAATGTTTGTCTTATACAAGTTAGTATGCTGGTTGATCTTTACAAGAGTCTATCTTCTACCATAGTGGTGACTAGACATAAGAACGTCTTGTTGGACTGACGGTGTTCATCCTAGTCGGCATGACATCGTTGTGTAGAGTTTAATCTTCAGGAAATACTAGTATTTTCCTGTAGTGTTCTGCCTTCAATTGGTTTGTATGTAAATATGTACTTGTGGTGTACTAAATGTTGAATAAAAATCTTTAGCATTTATTTTCATTCCACTGTGAAACATACAGAATTGTTGGACTTTAATCTTAACATGGCGTACAATTGTGTTTCTATATTTTGATTTATATATTCATTGTGATACCTTGATGCAATAAAACCTCCCCTTGGGATAACAATGTATTATCTTAGTTGTGTCAACATAGCTCCTGTCATGCCTGACACAATGACACAATGACACAATGACCACACTGGTTAACTGAACTGAATAAACATTTTCTGTAGTGGAGCCAAGATTGCGGAGTCATCACAAGAGGGTTTGACTGTGGTCATATTTCCTAACTAGCCTGAACTAAAGTGAACATATCAACTTGATGCCCTGAGTGTCCCAAATAAGATGTATATTTTGTATATTTATCCATTCACTTGAAGCTCCAACCTATGTAGAATATTGCAGTCTTACCAAACAGTTTGGGTTTAGCAAACGGTGGGAACTCCTCCCTTCTGTGAAGTGCCCTGTGAAGATTAAACATGGCTTTGTGCAGCTGCTTGAAGTCATTGTAGCGTTTCCAGATGATTGTCTGCCAAATACAAGAAATTGTCCACTCAGCTAACACACAAACAACGATAAAGCATATCAACCTCTTGGAGCTATATATGCCAATAAACCCCACCCACAAGCTACAGCGCTACCATGCTACAGCTCTACAGCCCTAACAAGAACTGCACTACATCTGCCCCACCCACATGCTGCACTACATCTGCCCCCCCCCCCCCCCCCCCAACACACACACACACATGCTGCAGCCCAACTCAACACTCTATATCTGCCCCACCCATATGCTGCACTACATCTGCCCCACCCATATGCTGTACTACATCTGCCCCACCCACATGCTGCACTACATCTGCCCCACCCATATGCTGCACTACATCTGCCCCACCCATATGCTGTACTACATCTGCCCCACCCACATGCTGCACTAAATCTGCCCCACCCATATGCTGCACTACATCTGCCCCACCCATATGCTGTACTACATCTGCCCCACCCACATGCTGCACTAAATCTGCCCCGCCCACATGCTGCACTACATCTGCCCCACCCACATGCTGCACTAAATCTGCCCCACCCACATGCTGCACTAAATCTGCCCCACCCACATGCTGCACTACATCTGCCCCACCCACATTCTGCACTACATCTGCCCCACCCACATGCTGTACTACATCTGCCCCACCCACATGCTGCACTAAATCTGCCCCACCCACATGCTGCACTACATCTGCCCCACCCACATGCTGCACTAAATCTGCCCCACCCACATGCTGTACTACATCTGCCCCGCCCACATGCTGCACTAAATCTGCCCCGCCCACATGCTGCACTAAATCTGCCCAACCCACATGCTGCACTAAATCTGCCCCACCTACATGCTGCACTAAATCTGCCCAACCCACATGCTGCACTACATCTGCCCCGCCCACATGCTGCACTACATCTGCCCAACCCACATGCTGCACTACATCTGCCCCACCCACATGCTGTACTACATCTGCCCCACCCACATGCTGCACTACTTCTGCCCGACCCACATGCTGTACTACATCTGCCCCACCCACATGCGGTACTACATCTGCATCACCCACATGCTGTACTACATCTGCCCCACCCACATGCTGCACTTACTGCACTAACAAGCACTCTATATCTATACTACACTACCAAGCACTCTATATCTATACTGCACTAACAAGCACTCTATATCTATACTGCACTAACAAGCACTCTATATCTATACTGCACTAACAAGCATCCTATATCTATACTGCACTAACAAGCACTTGATATCTATACTACACTAACAAGCACTCTATATCTATACTGCACTAACAAGCACTCTATATCTATACTACACTAACAAGCACTCTATATCTATACTACACTAACAAACACTCTATATCTATACTGCACTAACAAACACTCTATATCTATACTGCACTAACAAGCACTCTGTATCTATACTACACTAACAAGCACTTTATATCTATACTGCACTAACAAGCACTCTGTATCTTTACTACACTAACAAGCACTTTATATCTATACTGCACTAACAAGCACTCTGTATCTATACTACACTAACAAGCACTTGATATCTGTACTGCACTAACAAGCATTAATCACCTCTTTTAAACTCTCACCTCTTTTAAACATTCAGGGCAGCTTATCGGGAACACCTGAAAATAGAAGTGTTCCAACTAATAACAGCATCAACTCAGCAGCATGGTCAACATACATGAAACACACTCTGTAGTCAACATCAACTTTGTCAACGTGTTCAACAAATCCATGTGTGGGTGTGTCCCACTCCCTGTTTGTCAAAATATCAAGCTTGCCCTTGCGTTACATAACTTCCAGTGACCATGATGACAGAGACACAGCTATGATTCCTCACAAACTAGTGAAGGGTATTTGGCCTAGTTCAACAAAACAAACCTGGCAACACTAAAATCATCAGAATTTGTCCAAGTAACATGAATAGGAGATAATACCAAATAATGCTTGTTGGAATCATATCCTGGGTAGAATCTGAGGAAAACTGCTGCAGTTCTATCAATAATCCAGTCTGATCCAGTCTGATCCAGGTTAACCATGCTAACCAGTGGCTAAAAACATGAGCACCTATCCACCCCCGTGAGTCATCAGCCAAGTCACAGAGTATGACATCCAGTCTACAACAGTATCTTCTACAAGGGACAGTTGGGTGCTGGGGTCTAGTTTAACCTTGGTCCCCACAACAGAACATGACACCCAGTCTACAACAGTATCTTCTACAAGGGACAGTTGGGTGCTGGGGTCTAGTCTAACCTTGGTCCCAACAACAGAATATGACACCCAGTCTACAACAGTTGGGTGCTGGGGTCTATTCTAACCTTGGTCCCCACAACAGAGTATGACACCAATCTACAACAGTTGGGTGCTGGGGTCTAGTCTAACCTTGGTCCCCACAACAGAACATGACACCCAGTCTACAACAGTATCTTCTACAAGGGACAGTTGGGTGCTGGGGTCTAGTCTAACCTTGGTCCCAACAACAGAATATGACACCCAGTCTACAACAGTTGGGTGCTGGGGTCTAGTATAACCTTGGTCCCAACAACAGAGTATGACACCAATCTACAACAGTTGGGTGCTGGGGTCTAGTCTAACCTTGGTCCCAACAACAGAGTATGGCACCAATCTACAACAGTTGGGAGCTGGGGTCTAGTCTAACCTTGGTCCCCAAAACAGAATATGACACCCAGTCTACAACAGTTGGGTGCTGGGGTCTAGTCTAACCTTGGTCCCCACAACAGAGTATGACACCAATCTACAACAGTTGGGTGCTGGGGTCTAGTCTAACCTTGGTCCCAACAACAGAGTATGACACCAATCTACAACAGTGTGGTGCTGGGGTCTAGTCTAACCTTGGTCCCCACAACAGAGTATGACACCAATCTACAACAGTTGGGTGCCGGGGTCTAGTCTAACCTTGGTCCCAACAACAGAGTATGACACCAATCTACAACAGTTGGGTGCTGGGGTCTAGTCTAACCTTGGTCCCCACAACAGAGTATGACACCAATCTACAACAGTTGGGTGCTGTTGTCTAGTCTAACCTTGGTCCCCACAACAGAGTATGGCACCAATCTACAACAGTTGGGTGCTGGGGTCTAGTTTAACCTTGGTCCCCACAACAGAGTATGACACCCAATCTACAACAGTTGGGTGCTGGGGTCTAGTCTAACCTTGGTCCCCACAACAGAGTATGACACCAATCTACAACAGTTGGGTGCTGTTGTCTAGTCTAACCTTGGTCCCCACAACAGAGTATGGCACCAATCTACAACAGTTGGGTGCTGGGGTCTAGTCTAACCTTGGTCCCCACAACAGAGTATGACACCAATCTACAACAGTTGGGTGCTGGGGTCTAGTCTAACCTTGGTCCCAACAACAGAGTATGACACCAATGTACAACAGTTGGGTGCTGTTGTCTAGTCTAACCTTGGTCCCCAAAACAGAGTATGGCACCAATCTACAACAGTTGGGTGCTGGGGTCTAGTCTAACCTTGGTCCCAACAACAGAGTATGACACCAATCTACAACAGTTGGGTGCTGTTGTCTAGTCTAACCTTGGTCCCAACAACAGAGTATGGCACCAATCTACAACAGTTGGGTGCTGGGGTCTAGTCTAACCTTGGTCCCAACAACAGAGTATGACACCAGTCTACAACAGTTGGGTGCTGTTGTCTAGTCTAACCTTGGTCCCCACAACAGAGTATGGCACCAATCTACAACAGTTGGGTGCTGGGGTCTAGTCTAACCTTGGTCCCCACAACAGAGTATGACACCAATCTACAACAGTGTGGTGCTGGGGTCTAGTCTAACCTTGGTCCCCACAACAGAGTATGACACCAATCTACAACAGTTGGGTGCTGGGGTCTAGTCTAACCTTGGTCCCCACAACAGAGTATGACACCAATCTACAACAGTTGGGTGCTTGGGTCTAGTCTAACTTTGGTCCCAACAACAGAGTACGACACACAATCTACAACAGTAATCTTGTACAAGGGACAGTTGGGTGCTGGGTCTAGTCTAACCTTGGTCCCCACAACAGAGTATGACACCAATCTACAACAGTTGGGTGCTGGGGTCTAGTCTAACCTTGGTCCCCACAAAAGAGTTGGAACTGATGGTCTAGGTGACCACGGAGGTCCTAGGCTAGCAAGTTTGGATTCAAGGGGCAACCTCTGGAATTCTATACCACATACCCTGTGATGTAATTTATGAAATTTTGTTGCAAGATACACCAGCAAATAATGCCCTGTGATGTCAGCATACATAGCATTAGGTTTGTTGGGGTCATGGAGAACGCATGAACTCCTCTCAGTGATCTATCATCTCTACACGCAATGTCATTGAATAAGCCCAGTGATGTTGAGATTTTTCAATATTGGTATATTAAACAAAGCCCGTGGCAACTCATTTCATAACAAGCGCCAGTTCATGAAAGCATTCTTATTTTCTATTTTCAACAAAAAAAATTATTTTTTTTATTCCTTACTTTCAACCTCATTCGCAGGGCTAAAGGGATTAGAAATGAGAACTTCTATACATCATAACAAACACTATTTTTTCTATTTAATAATTTTCAATATTCTGCTCAGGAATGCAGTTTATTAGGTTTTTATTTATAGACACTTTGCAAAGGATAAAGGTTTGTAATGACAAGGATGGATAAGAACTGTGTAGAGGGTCTACGGGGGTTGTATATCTTCTCAAAGTGTTGAAGCTTCCAAGTAGGCAAAGCTTCAATTGCATTCACTTTTTTACATAAAAATGCAGTCTTTAATAGTTTAATATTATAATATATTAACCAAGGACACTGCCATGGAACTTTCACTCGCTGCATTAGCTCTGATATGATTTTTAAGCTGACTCACCCTCGTTGTGTCAGCTCATGATGTTCCTTGCTACAATCCCTAACAATTATCATCCTTACAATGTTCCCTACCACAATTTTCTGTCACAAAACCATCCCCCTGATAGCTGTAAGCCAAATGACATTGTGACCTCTCGTAAGCGTCCATTACCTGAAGTCTTGCAACACCATGGCTTCCCATAACCTTTTTAAGTGTCTGTCCCCACTCTGTCCCTTTTCATTCATTTCAGTAATCTTTAGGCATGACTACATATAGAGCAAACTATGTTTATAACGAACACGCATATAATCATGATCATGAACTGGCGGATATAACAAACTGATTTTATGGTCCCGGCCATTTGCTGTATATATGCTTATAATAAACTAGGGTTTAGTGGTGTAACGATACATCGAACTATCGATTGATTGCGATTGCTTGTCTCACGATAGTGCACTATCGATTGCAACTTGAAACAATCGATACTATTGGCGATAGTTTGTCTAACTATCGATAGTTTCGATAGTTAATTTGTTTGGTACATTTACTTTCTTAAAAAACATAGAAACAACTCCTATGATCATCTAACCTCTGTCGTGCTTTCGTTTGGATTGCAATAGTATCGCAATAGTAAAAAATGCCTCAATAGTCACCCCTACTACGGTTATAACAAACTAAAATTAGTGGTCACTTTGAGTTTGTTATAATTGTAGTTTTCAGAGATGCCTTCTAACTACAAGGTAGGTAATTATCACACTCAAATCACTGTATGCCTTGTAATCACAAGGCAAAGAACATGAGGAAGGCAACTTTCAGACACATTTTCTCTGTTAAGAGTACAAAAGCCATGATGAGGTAATGATTTAACTGGTTTATCTGGATCCTCTGATATCATATTGCAATAAATTGTAAATTAGCCTGCAACCTCGGGGTATTGTGGTACTTGTCATGTACGCTAAACGGAACAAAATGCACTCACTAACCTTTATGATTATTTGTGTTCTCTATATCAGGTGTCATTTATTTTATCTAAATATGCAGATTTTACTGATAAAAGTTCATTATTACACCAGTCGCGCCGAGTAAAAGCCGGGCCTCGTGGTCAGTTTGACAAGGGGAAAAGTTGTGTATGAAGGTCCGAATTGGACAAAAACGGGACATAATTCTTCCAACCACTAAAGTATGATGATGCCAGACTTCTGTGATTTGTGCAAAGTACAAAGACAGCACAAGCAAAATTCTGAATGTGTTATCAGTAATAGGTATCCAATGCATATTTATCATTTGGCTACTTGTGAAGAACGTATTTCTAAGTATGGCACTATGGCCCTTTTGAGCTCCTAATAGACTCCAGCCACAAAGGGGGAAAAAATGTGCTGACTATGTAACTTCTGCAGATGATATAGTTCAGATATAGAGAAAGCTTACTTGGGAAACTGGGGGTTATATCGTTGGCCATTGATAGATGGGGATAAGGCAATATTAAAAAAGATGACAGAAGCAAGTATCATTGTGTTAATAACTCCTTACTTACAGCAGATGGAACATTCCAAGGAAATTGAAATTGTTTACGAAGTGAGCACTTCCTGGTTACTGATTTGCATTTATAGACAGCCACTAAGAGGCGTGTCCCACATGAACTTTTGGAAATCACAAATGCCGCGATACCGTGAATGCAGCGGTACCATGGGGTCCGAGTATAAATTTTCTGAAAATTTATTTGGTATTTGGTAGATATGTACAAGGTGTAATAATATTCCAAGCCTATGGCAAATCTCAATAATAAAAGAGAGTAATGGTTGAAATGACAAACGTCGAGTAATTTGAGAGGGGCACTGAAATTTAGGTACTCCTTGAAATGTGGTGCTGCCGCCAGACCTGGTGCCATAACTAACCGCAAGCCACCGCTAGTTGTCCTTATTAGCTGAGCCCGGTAATGTGCAGTGTTGCCCAATTTACTATGTCATTGTTGTACCTGTAGGCTACCTCATAAGAGTTGGGTTTGTTTAATGGGCTTCTCATTGAGTTGATACAATCGCAGTGTCACTTACTTTGCACGTCACTTTGTAAATAGTAAACCCTTTAGGGTGTAACTGGGGATCCGACACCTCGAAGAACCAGATGTAATCAACTTTGGTTGTAGCCATGGTGCTTAGTTACTACATCTAAATGTAAAAGATACACGGAAGGACTTGTCCATTTTCTTTTCCGTTTTCATTTTACACCATATTTTAATCCAGGTGTCATTTTCGTGGTCGAGTCAGTATACGTCCCTTTCCCAGACCAGGCCTCAGAGCTACGTTTATCGAGAGGTATGCCTGTTATACTCGCGCGTGTAGTTCAACTATACTGTATTTAAGCTTCCGCACGACAATACGAAATGCGCGGCTATCTATAGACAAATCCCAGTCAAATTATAACAATTCCATACATTTTTGTCTGAATAAATATTATGAACGCAGTATTCTTTTATATATAATATGTATATATACTTACTCGATCAAGCTCACTCAATTTTAACACATTTAAAGCCATTATTTTTTTTATCTGTACTGTTAATGAGGTGACGATTGAGATCATCTGTGGTTTGATTCAGTCTCTTTAGACATCGTGGTAATGTATCACACTACCCTAAACTAATAAATACATGCATGTTTGTAAAATCCGTTTGTCTAGGTACTAGAACGGACATATACATACATATTCATTATACACATTCTCGCAATCTCACAAATATAGCTGACAAACGATAGCCGAACTTTCTTTTCAGAACACAGGCCACTTTAATTTACTCTGATCCCTTATTTTTTGCTATCAAGTCATCAGAGAGGTAAACAGATATGTTTAAACTGGTTAGCTCACTTTTTTTATACAATATTTTCTTTTGACAATCGGATTTAAATAATTTCTATCAAAGGGGAATCTCGACTTAACATAAGCTTTACCACTATATCCTATATCGTCGAATTCACAGATAAAAAATATGGAAAAATACATGCTTTGGCATATTCGAATCCAGTGCCATTTATGCTGACTCACTTTAATCTAGTCAACGTTCTTCAGAATGTATTCTTTGTAGCCACCCTACACATAGGTTATGAAATAGAGCTTTGCGTATTTTCGTTATTTTATAAACAACTACAGACAACTACAGACTCTTCATATTGCCTTGTATATAGCGTGTGCGTAAATCATCGCCGCTACCCCTACAACTAGTTTAATACAATTATTTTTTGTATACTCAAGCCACTGACTGGTCACTCTACACATTACTATTATATAAAAGAAACATCCTTGTGTATTTTCCCCATCAATTAAACGAGAGGCGTACGTTGGTCTGGGAAAGTGACAACTACAGAGTCTTCATATTGCCTTTTTTAGATATGTAAAAATCCTCATGGCTACCCCTACAATGGGTATAATACAGTGCTTTTTTATTCGGTCCACTGAAACGTCACTCTTACACATTATTATGAAAAAAGAGCATTGCGTATGTTTCATATTATTTTATACGGGGCGCGAACATTGGTCTGGGAAAGGAACAACTGCACACTGTTCCTATTGCCTTGCATTGGCTGTGGGAAAATCATCGCCACAATACCCCCATAACTAGTATTATACAATTATTATTTGTACGGGGGACGGGCATTGGTCTGGGAAACTGGGACAACTTGTTGCACGAATGGCCTTGTATATACATAACAGGATTCTCTACTCCAGTATAACAATATCTACTCTACTGTATAAACATTGCTTCCGACTTGTATATACTTGTCAACCAGGCTCTGTATATCACTTTGATAACGGCTTTAGAACCTACACCGAAAAGTCGCTCTTAATTGTAATAAATAAGTTGTTCATCCATAAATTCTTATCCTTACTTAACATGTGATTCTCAATAAACCCTCAGTAAAGTCAAGGTACCCCGTACAGCATCCTGAGCGAAGAACCGAACACAGTGATCAAATAATTATATTGGTCTGGGAAAGGGACAACTACAGACTGTTCATGTTGCCTGGTGTGGGAACAATAACCCCACTACCCCACAACTATTATAATACAAATATGTTTTTTTATATTTACGCCACTGACATGTCACACTGCACATTATCATATAAAGGAAACATCCTTGTGTAGCGTGTGTGTAAATAATCGTCGCTACCTCCACAACTGTTGTAATGTATATATATATATATATTTATATGTATGACCCCTACTGGTCACTCTACACATTATTAGTTAAAAGAAACATCCCTGTGTGTTTTACATTATCCATTTAGCGGGAGACGAACAGTGGTCGCGGAAAGGGACAAGTACAGACTTTTCATATTGCTTGTGTATAGAGTGTATGTAAATAATCGTCGCTACCTCCACAACTGTTGTAATATATTTATTATTCGCACTATGTATGACCCCTACTGGCCACACTACACAGTATTAGATAAAAGAAACATCCCTGTGTGTTTTCCATTATCCATTTAGCGGGAGACGAACAGTGGTCGCGGAAAGGGACAGCTGCAGACTTTTCCTATCACTTGTACATAGCGTGTGTGTAAATAATCGTCGCTGCCTCCACAGCTGTTGTAATATATCTATTATCTTTACTATGTATGACTCCTACTGGCCACACTACACATTATTAGATAAAAGAAACATTTCAGTGTGTTTTCCATTATCCATTTAGCGGGAGACGAACAGTGGTCGCGGAAAGGGACAGCTACAGACTTTTCCTATTGCTTGTATATAGCGTGTGGGTAAATAATCGTCGCTGCCTCCACAATTGTTGTAATATATTTATTATTCGCACTATGTATGACCCCTACTGGCCACACTACACATTATTAGATAAAAGAAACATCCCTGTGTGTTTTCAATTATCCATTTAACGGGAGACGAACAGTGGTCGCGGAAAGGGACAAGTACAGACTTTTCATATTGCTTGTGTAAAGAGTGTATGTAAATAATCGTCGCTACCTCCACAACTGTTGTAATATATTTATTATTCGCACTATGTATGACCCCTACTGGCCACACTACACAGTATTAGATAAAAGAAACATCCCTGTGTGTTTTCCATTATCCATTTAGCGGGAGACGAACAGTGGTCGCGGAAAGGGACAGCTGCAGACTTTTCCTATCATGCACTTGTACATAGCGTGTGTGTAAATAATCGTCGCTGCCTCCACAACTGTTGTAATATATCTATTATCTTTACTTTTCATCACTCCTACTGGCCACTCTACACATTATTAGATAAAAGAAACATTTCAGTGTGTTTTCCATTATCCATTTAGCGGGAGACGAACAGTGGTCGCGGAAAGGGACAGCTACAGACTATTCCTATTGCTTGTATATAGCGTCTGGGTAAATAATCGTCGCTGCCTCCACAACAGTTGTAATATATTTATTATTTGTACTACGTATGACTCCTACTGGCCACACTACACATTATTAGATAAAAGAAACATCCCTGTGTGTTTTCCATTATCCATTTAACGGGAGACGAACAGTGGTCGCGGAAAGGGACAGCTACAGACTTTTCATATTGCTTGTGTATAGAGTGTGTGTGTAAACAATCGTCGCTGCCTCCACAGCTGTTGTAATATATTTATTATCTTTACTATGTATGACTCCTACTGGCCACACTTCCCATTATTAGATAAAAGAAACATCCCTGTGTGTTTTCCATTATCCATTTAACGGGAGACGAACAGTGGTCGCGGAAAGGGACAGCTACAGACTTTTCATATTGCTTGTTTATAGAGTGTGTGTGTAAATAATCGTCGCTGCCTCCACAGCTGTTGTAATATATCTATTATCTTTACTATGTATGATTCCTACTGGCCACACTTCCCATTATTAGATAAAAGAAACATCCCTGTGTGTTTTCCAATATCAATTAAACAGGAGACGAACAGTGGTCGCGGAAAGGGACAGCTACAGACTTTTCATATTGCTTGTGTATAGAGTGTGTGTGTAAATAATCGTCGCTGCCTCAACAACTGTTGTAATATATCTATTATTTTTACTATGTGTGACTCCTACTGGCCACACTACACATTATGAGATAAAAAAACCCCCATCCCTTTGTGTTTTCCAATATCAATTAAACAGGAGACGAACACTGGTCGCGGAAAGGGACAAGTACAGACTTTTCATATTGCTTGTGTGTAGAGTGTATGTAAATAATCGTCGCTACCTGCACAACTGTTGTAATATATTTATTATTTTTACTATGTATGACTCCTACTGGCCACACTACACAGTATTAGATAAAAGAAACATCCCTGTGTGTTTTCCATTATCCATTTAGCGGGAGACGAACAGTGGTCGCGGAAAGGGACAGCTGCAGACTTTTCCTATCACTTGTACATAGCGTGTGTGTAAATAATCGTCGCTGCCTCCACAACTGTTGTAATATATCTATTATCTTTACTTTCCATCACTCCTACTGGCCACACTACACATTATTAGATAAAAGAAACATTTCAGTGTGTTTTCCATTATCCATTTAGCGGGAGACGAACAGTGGTCGCGGAAAGGGACAGCTACAGACTTTTCCTATTGCTTGTATATAGCGTGTGGGTAAATAATCGTCGGTACCTCCACAACTGTTGCAATATATTTATTATTCGCACTATGTATGACCCCTACTGGCCACACTACACATTATTAGATAAAAGAAGCATCCCTGTGTGTTTTCAATTATCCATTTAACGGGAGACGAACAGTGGTCGCGGAAAGGGACAGCTACAGACTTTTCATATTGCTTGTTTATAGAGTGTGTGTGTAAATAATCGTCGCTGCCTCCACAGCTGTTGTAATATATCTATTATCTTTACTATGTATGATTCCTACTGGCCACACTTCCCATTATTAGATAAAAGAAACATCCCTGTGTGTTTTCCATTATCCATTTAGCGGGAGACGAATAGTGGTCGCGGAAAGGGACAGCTACAGACTTTTCATATTGCTTGTGTATAGAGTGTGTGTGTAAATAATCGTCGCTGCCTCAACAACTGTTGTAATATATCTATTATTTTTACTATGTATGACTCCTACTGGCCACACTACACATTATGAGATAAAAAAACCCATCCCTGTGTGTTTTCCAATATCAATTAAACAGGAGACGAACACTGGTCGCGGAAAGGGACAAGTACAGACTTTTCATATTGCTTGTGTATAGAGTGTATGTAAATAATCGTCGCTACCTGCACAACTGTTGTAATATATTTATTATTCGC